GCCCGGCCCGGCGGACAGGAGCGGAGGCACGGGGCTGAAGATGGACGCCCCGCCGCCCGTCTCAGCACACAGCTGGACCTGGAAAGTGGATCCCTGGCGGTAGGAGTCTGGGCAGAGAGCTTTTGCAACTTTCATCTCCCGTCTCGGAGATGCCAACGATTTCCATTCCGACCCTTCCCTCAGCCTGGTGGCCGCCAGCTAGGACGGCTGAATGCAGCTGCCAGAATGTTCAGGATCCCTCTAAAGGTCCGCTGCGACAGGACCTTTAAACTGCAGTTCTCCCTGCTTTCGCCCCAGGAGGGAGGAAAATAGCGTGGTAGCCTGCCCGGTGGCCTCCATCCCACCACCGCCTGGCTCCCACCCACTCACGTGCGTTCAAGTGAGCGAGAGACAGACTTTTTCTCTTCGCCCCCAAGAGCCTCACCTGCAAGACGGGAAGAACCAGGGAAAGACTGGCCGACGCTGGGATGTCCCATCCTCCCTCGCCAACCTGGACATCTTCGGGGTTGACACTGAGCAGAAGAAATTCCAGCTCTTAAATTCCACTAGTTTGTAAATCCCCCCATTAGAAGATTTGAGTGTTTTGTTTTGTTTTTTATTGTGATAAACTACAAAGAACAATTTACAGTTTTACAATTCGGTTGTTTTACAGTGCAGTTCAGTGGCATTAAGTACATTCACATTGTTGTGTGGCTTAAAACAAAACATTGGTTAAAATGCCAAGGAGACCTAAGTATGGCAAGAACTGCCCTAGTAGTAGGGAAACTTGTAGGAAATTAAGTCAGTTTCTTTGGCTGAAACATGCACTATCAATACCACCGCCAACATATCAGAAATGACTTACGTATAATGATTGTGTACTTGTACACAGAGCCAGTACACGTCGTTTGGGGGAGAGTAATCCACCATCTGAATTGTTTTTCCAACTGTGTATGTACATATATTTTATGTGTCAAAATTTTCAATGGCCACGTTGTTTTTAAAGTAATAAATGCCTTTGAAATCCATTCTCCAGCCCCTCTTCTGTATCAGAATTTCACAGTCCACACGCCTTAGCTAGGACCACAAGTCAGCAAGTTAGCGGTATCTGACCTCCCACCAGCCTCCTCTCCTCACCTTTACTTGCAGCCCATTCATGCTGCTTAGTTCCCTGCCCTGTAATTTAGTTCAATCTGCATCTTGAGTGCAAAGTGCTCTTTGTCTACTCTCAAAGCATTTCTAAATCCTATCTATCCTTCCAGACCTCTTCATCCATGAGGTCCCATAGCACTTTCTCTGCACACCTTCATGACACGCTATTTGTTGCCTTACATTATAATTACCCAAAGAGATGCTTTATCTGCCCTGTGAACACCTTGAGTGCAGTAAGGATAAATGTCTTGGAGTTTTCAAATGTTATATATCAGAGGTGTATGAATTCTTGTATGGCAGGATAAAAATCTAAACAATTCCATGTTCTCTGCCCCTGTTCAGTTACTCCTCAGACAGCTAGGGCATTTCCCTCCCTGCCTCAGGGAGAAAGAAGAAAGCAATTCTCTGATACTTGTAAAATAGACATCTGAAGCTCATAGCAGTGACAGTAGTCTCCTAAGTCAGAGCTTTTAGTTTAGCGTAGTTGGGCTTCATGAGTTTCAGCACCTGAAGAAAAAAAAACAAATCGCAATGGCTTATGGTCACAAAAATCTATTCTTGCTTGCATTACATGCTGGGTCAACTGAGGTTTTGCTCCATGGGTCTTCTTGTTGCTAAAAAAGCAGTCCCTATGTATCCCGGCAGATGGGAAGACCCAAAAAGCTACTGGAAACTTGCAAAACCCTTTAAAGCTGCCTCTCCAGAGCCTATTGGCCAAACCCTTTCATATGGTCAGTCACACCCAAAGTCAATGGAGACATCTCCTTCTTCCATAGGCAAATCACATGGCAATGGGCATGAATTATAATCTTTTTGGAGGGAGGGGATTATGTGGTTAATTATAAATAATCTGTCACGACATGGGGGAACCAGTTTTCTCACCCCAGAGCTATTGGTGTATAACCCCAAGAAAAGCCTATACTACTTCACACACTTAGTCCTTGGGATTAGTTTGAAAGAAGCTGTGCAATTAGAAATAATAAAACTCCTATATGTGTTTAAAGATCTAAAGATTTAGGGCATTTGAACTCTATTCCCAGTAGGGATCAGAAAACCAACCAAAGTCCTAGGGTTTTCCCCTCAATAAGCTAACAGAAAGCAGCATGTTAGCATGAAGTGTTCAGGCATGAAGAGTTAGAATAATGCTCTAATGTATATATGGCATTAAAGACCATTCAGAGGAACTGACAGAGGGCCAAAGAGTCTACAATTCAGAAAGAGAAAGGGCAGAACTGAATGCACAGAGCAGCGTCCTGAAAGCTATGGAAAGTGGACATCAACCGTTGAGGCCAAGGCCAAGAGGTGTTTGCAGCTGACAACAAGATACCTCCTCTTGCCATCTACCCCCCACTCCCAAATTTTGAGGTTATCTTCAGAAAAAGAAGGGGAAGGCAGGTAATTTTGAAGTGGTTACATTTTGGCCAGAAATAATTTGGGAACAAGAGAGATTTGTGGGTAAGAGAAGTACTTGTGGGATTGGCTTAATTAAGTTTTCTCTTTTTAGGATAACAGGATCTCAACACTGTGACTAGTTCTAATTCTTTTTTTTTTTTTTTTTTT